CACATTTTTAATATACATGCTTTTCTTGTAGTCACTGATCAGCCCCGTAATCTTAAAATCCCTATGAGGAGAATACATGCATTTTTTTACCTTATAGTTTGGACGTGGTCAGGCCAACAGAACGACCTGTCAGGAGCAATGGTTTCCGGGTTCCAGATGTTGAGACTCTCGGTCAGGATCGTTGCTGAAGGATTGTTTACCTGTGGTGCATGAGGGAAACTGGAGCATCTCTGTAAACTATGACCCTGTGGTTAGAACTCTTGAAATAAGTAAAAATATACAAGGAAGCATATTTATCAGTATTCATTGATTGGTGGTGATGGTATCTTCAAATCTTATTTAAACAACAATAATTTATATAGGAAAACAACAGAAATAGGGGCAAATTAAACAGTTTGGTATCTAGTTTTATGTTCATTCAAATCAGAAATGAGTCATTTTTGTTTTGTCATGAAAGTAAAGTTTTGTGATTTAGGTTAGATACGTAGTTTTGGGAGCTTGCCACCTTTTTAGTTGACTCATTGATGAATGGGCAACCAGTTGATCTTATGCATTGTAAATAGTTTTTTTTCTGAGACATAGAGTTGGTGTGGTGGATGCATTGGGTAAATGTAGTGCACAGCTACATATGAATTCTCCAGGACTAAGTGTGTAATGTGAACTGCTATCAAAACCCCAAATGAAAGATGGTTTTATTCAAATGTGGAGTTGCGCAGTGTAACTTCTGACCTGAAAGCCGTTCCTCTGGTTCTAATAAAAGTGCTGGCTGGCGCTGAGTTCAGGGACACAGCTGTGGCTTGTTAAAATGGAAACTACCTTCGAACAAAACGTGGGACAAATGAAGAATTACAGTATGTCAGGACACAGCTGCGAATCCGGTTCTAGTCCGGGGTCAGGCCGAGTTATGGAGCAACATCTCACATGGTTCAAGAGTCCTGTGACAAGCGTTTAGTCCTGGCTTCTTCCTGTTTTTCAAGGGTCCTCGAGTCCTAGTCTGGTTCTGGTCACAAGAGTATCATAGTAACACACTGTTTATTGTCAGCAGTTAGCATTGGTCTTTAGCATTAGCCTTTCAACAAACAAGTATGTATAGGTGAAACCCTTCTAAATGACTTAGTTTTATTAAATCAGGTGAAAAACTTAAAGTAGCAATATGTCACAAGGCATTAATAAACCAGGCTCTTTTAACTGATAACAGTAGTTCAGAGATATTTGGATTTCAAAATTAGTGTTACAGCCGCTAAACCTTGTTATTTTTTTCATTTCGATGTCCCGCCCTCCACCGTTTTACCAATCAGAAAGTCTGTGATCCGGGTTGCCAGAACTCACCGCGTCGAGCTAATCTCACTGGTAAAGTACCATGTGGCGCAGAACTAAAAAAGGTCTCGTTATGATTCTCAAATCATTAATAACAAAACAAGGAATAAAAAAAGGATTTCTATCTTTGTGAAAAAGGTGTTGGTTACAGGTTTGTTGTTGACAAAACTCTTGTCTATTCAGATACTAAGGTCCCAGCTGGATTCGTCTGCATATCTGGCAACCTGAGTCAGGGCGAGTGCAGTACGTCTTTTGGCCAGATTTTTACATACTGCTCCTTTAATATCTTCTCGGCAAATTTCTCATAATTCCATTGGTTTGAGTGCAGTCAAAATGACGGCTCTGGGAGTTCCAGTAGTTTCATGATTGTGGGAGTCTTAGTGTTAAGACTACGACTAATATAGTTTAGGTCAAAAAAGCCATGGACTCTTCATCTTCATTTATGTATGAATGATTTTTTTGCTCCTTTGGCTATACTTGTTTTGAGACTGTCAAAATGCACAGATAATTACAATCATCAGGACTAAAAAAAAAAACAGCTATTCTCACTCTCAAATTGCTCAAAAAATCCGGGTCAAACACGTTGGCAAGGAAGTCAGTGCACCCGCTTCTAAAATCAAAAGGCATTGACATTGATTCTAGTAGATAATAATCTATGCGCACTATCTATATCATGAGTTTAATAACACTCAACCCACAAAATGTCTCCTTTAACCTAAACAAATGGATCAACATTATTATTTTCCAACTTTTGCTGCTGTTTCATTAATTATAGCCCTAATCCCGTTGCCTTGTGAGGAGCAGAAGGCACGCGCTAATATCCACCTCATTTGCATATTAAATGGGCTCTGGGGTGGAGCTAATGTATGCTAATGTATGCAGGCATCTTTATTTTGAACCGGTGACCATATGCACACGGGGCAGGTGAGACCGACTCATCCTACGCTTGCCTCAAATCTGTGTTTAAGGATGTGTGATCGCACCAGGCACCAACGCACAGAATTGGCAACTTTGAAATGCTCATTCTGCAGAAAAGATGGTGAGTAGCAGGAGAGGTGCAGTAATGCGAAGGTGGATGGTTGAATCTCTAGAGTTGTTCCTAACCGATGCCGGAGGGTCTTAGGACAGTGGTGACGATCCAGAATACTCGACATTCACCGACATTTATGGATTTTATTAACATTTATGGACATTGGTCATCCGCCAAAGGCTCAATGTGTTTTCTATCATTGCATTTCCTGTGTTTGAACTTTGTGATTCTCTGATCTGTGTTGGTGAAAAGACTCCCGAGATAACTGCTGTTGAGATTTAGGGCTATAGAAAAATACAATGAATCAAATTGAATCCATGAGGCCATTGCTCTGACTCCCATTTTGCACCTTCTCTGGTCCTGTGTGTCCAAAGTGCAAAGATCAAGAGTGTACAAGGTGTCGCTCATGTGGGTACAAAGGTAGCGCTAACACCAAGCTGTGCCCAGTGCCAGCCTCCCCCGGGGCTTTTTCACGGCTTCTGTTCACTGTTTCATGGACAGAACTTGTTGGCTTGGGGGACCACAGGATCAGAGTAAGGCTCAGCTCTTCTCAGTGAGGGAAGGATGGACTCACAACCACACCTGTGAGTTTTGGTTTCACATCTCCATGGATATGAAAACACATCTCTTACTCATATTAGGATTGTGATTAAGAGATCCTTGATATGGTGTGTTTATGGTGACTGTGGTTGAGCCTGTGTGAAAAGCCAATTCTCACAGTAACATTACTTTTGCTAAAATGGTGCTTACCCTGAGCCTGGGACACCTCAGGACTCCCCAGATGAGGACGTCTGCTCACACTGCTCCCTCACAACCTGGAAACACAACATGAATGGGTGCTTTTAGAGATTGATTGATTTTATTCATTCAGTTAGATTCTTTTCATTCTGAGGTATTTCAAATATTCACATTAAATTCCTTAGTTTATGAGAACTTTTGTACATTGTTTTGTTGCCTTCTGTGCTTACATACACATGCAAATACATATTAGTACATATTATAGCACAATCAAGCAACAGTATTTGCCATAGTTTCACCATGTGTGGTATATTTACAAGTTCAATATATAATTAAACATGTATTTCTATTTACAATTTTCAGCTCGAAATGGAGTGGGAAAGAAGTATAAACTTGTAGACTCCCACCACAAGCTTGCAAAGAGGTGCAACTGTGGTTTGTGAAATGTGCTATATAAATAAAGATAACTTACTTTTAAATAACAATAATTCTTTTCTTGTAATTTTAAGTATTTAGTTCATTAATTGTGGTTGTTGTGATGTGGGTTGAATGTGGATAAATGTGTGTTTGTGGGTGCTCTGGTGCGGAGCCAGGTGCTGTGGTTCACACTGCACCGTCAGCTCCAGCTCAGAGGGTGCAACACAAACAAGCGCACCTCCATCACACCTCCACCCACCCAACACCACTGCCACCACACTCAAAACATGCATTTCACTGTCAGGAGGATTTACCGACTGGAAATGTGAACTTTCTGAGTCCACTGTTACCCTCCTGGTTATAGTCCAGGCTAAAAACAATTTCACTCTCAAGAGCTAATATTCCTCTGTACTCTGCGTCGTCCTCAATAGCTGCGTTTCCATTGAGCATCAAATTTCGAAATTTGAATTTGCGCATCATAACATGTCTAATGGAAACGCGCAAATTTCGAATAAACCACAGTTTTTCGATAAAAAGTTAATGCTCTTAAAATCGGTGGTTTTTTGGACGTATCAAAATTAAGTTTTTTGCAAAAAGGCAATGGAAACACTTATTTCGATATAGCGGAGGAAGCCGGGTGTTGATAAACCCAAAACATACATCTCTGATCATCAGCTGATCGTTCACAACAGCCTGCAGGGTAATGGATGGCCACCCTTTTCTGTTAACGTAATCCCTGTAGCCATCCTTCGGGGCACAAATAGGAATGTGTGATCCATCGATTGCTCTGTAGATTTGTGGCAAGCCCTGCGCTGCGTAATTACGCACGGCAATTTCTTTTGCCTCATTCACATCTGGCAATGCGATGTATTTCTTCATTAGTTTTTTACATAACGCCTTACACACCCCATAAACACACCGATGGACTGTGGTCTTGCTCACTCCAAATGTCTCAGCCACTACTCTATACTCCGCGCAAGTAGCTAGTTTATAGATAGCAATGGCAATGCGCTTCTCTGTGGGAACTGCCTCTCTAGGGCAGTGTGCAGCGGGAGCCACAACCGGTCCCACCGCTTCGCACAGCTCCTCAAATGTTGTGCGCGTCATTCTGAAGTTTTGGATCCATAGTTCCTCTGTGAAATCATGTACCACGACTTCCCAAAAGGTTCTCATCCGCATCCTCTCCCAAGTATACGGAGATCGCCGCTCCATTACACTCAGAAGGAGATGCCACCAACGCTTAATTCAGTTAATGATGAGAGCCACCGCAGAAGTCAAGACATTAATATATCTCAAGTAAATCAAAGTGTTGTTTACTTCTGTTGCCATGTTGACGTACTAGAAGCTAGTGAATAAACGCGCGAAAATAGTGTATACTTATTCGAATATGTCTAGCGTATACGAACGCTTTTGCAAATTACAGGTTTTTCGAATTTTGAAATGTATCAAAAAAGTTTTTGCGCATTATTCAATGGAAACGCAGCTAATGATGAAGACGATGCTGAGGAGGCTCTACCTGCTGAGGAGGCTCCACCTGCTGAGGAGGCTCCACCTGCTGAGGAGGCCCTTCCTGCTGAGGAGGCTCTACCTGCTGAGGAGGCTCAGGTGTTCTGGAGCGCAGGACCCATTCCTGAAGACCGTCTATGACTCTGTAGTGGCATCACTTGAGCAGCAGCAAACTTTACACAACCCCACCGCTGATTACAGTGTACTTAATGACTTCTCTTGGGCGGCACGGTGGCTGAGTGGATAGCACTCTCGCCTCTCCGCAAGAAGGTCCTGGGTTCGAATCCCGGTCGGACCAGGGCCTTTCTGAGTGGAGTTTGCATGTTCTCCCCGTGTGTGCGTAGGTTTCCTCCGGGTACTCCGGTTTCCCCTACCACTAAAAATATGTACAATAGGTCTGGCATGCGCCTCCCATCTCTGTGTGGAGTGAGAGGACAAGTGCCCAGAAATAACAATTGTAAACCGCTTTGTGACTCTGGTCTGTGAAAGGCGGTATATAAATAAAGATTACTTACTTACTTACTTCTCTTTGAACCAAGTGCACTTGTAAATCCAGATTATTATATTTTTTAAATGGTACCAAACCGGTACCATGTCATCTAAGTACAAGTCTATAAACAAGCAGGTCTAAAGCTGGTCTAAATCAGGACTAGAGCAGGACTAAAGCAGACCTAAGCCGGTGTAAAGCAGGATTAAAGCAGGTATAAAGCATGTTGAAAGTGGGACTAAAACAAGTCCTAATTAGGTCAAATACAGACCTAAAACAAGTCTAAATCTGGTCTTAGACAGGTCTAAACAGGATTAAAGCTGGTCTAAAGCTGATCTAAAGCTGGTCTAAAGCCGGGCCAAAGCCAGTGTAAAGCTGGTTTAGCTGATCTATTGCAAGTCGAAAGCAGGACTAAAACAGGTCTAAGCAGGACTAAATCAGGTCTAAAGCAGGTCTAAAGCAGGTCTAAAGCAGGTCTAAAGCCGGTCTAAAGCAGGTCTAAGGCAGGTCTAAAGCTGGTCTATAGCAGGTCTAAAGCTGGTCTATAGCAGGTCTAAAGCAGGTCTAAAGCTATCAGGTCTAAAGCCGGTCTAAAGCAGGTCTAAAGCAGGTCTAAAGCAGGTCTAAAGCTATCAGGTCTAAAGCAGGTCTAAAGCAGGTCTAAAGCAGGTCTAAAGCCGGTCTAAAGCTGGTCTAAAGCAGGTCTAAAGCCGGTCTAAAGCCGGTGTAGAGCCATGCCTGGTCTCTGACAGCAGACTGACAGCAGACTGGAGGATGCAGTGGTTTAGGGCGAGCCCTGAGGCCAATATTCAAATGTGACGTTGATGTTTATGATTTTAATAAAAGAGTGTTCATAAAGCGGCCTTCTCTGAGAGGGGAGGGAGCTCATGGGGGATCACCAACACCAAGTGCAATCCTGCTCCAGCCTCCTCCTGCCTCCTCCTGCCTCCTCCTGCCTCCTCCTCACGTGTCCTGGAGCTCAGGCCAGACTCACGGGAAGAGGAAGACACGTGGCTTTAGAGGACCTCCTTCTGAAATGCAGTAGTTATATCTATTTGTACAAGATTGCAAATGTCTCTGACCATGTGCGGTGGTTTTATTAGTAAACATTGTATCTTGGATGTTTTAAAATATGTGGACTAGTAGTTGCTTTTTGAATGCTAATTGAATGTACAAAACACAATTTTTTGGGGCTTAGGAGAAGTATCAGCAGCATTGGTAGTAGTAGCTCAGGTTATCTCCCACTGGGTTTGTTCCTTTCCGATGCAGGAGGGTCCAAGGGCAGTGATGATCCAGGACACTCGACATTCAAGGACATTTATGGACATTTATGGACATTTATGGACACTGGTCATCTACCCCTTATGGATCAATGGCTCTATGTGTTTTTTATCAATGCATTTCCTCTGTTGGAACTGTATGATTCTCTGATCTGTGCGAATCGACAGCTTTGTAAAGTCCTCTGGGATAACTCCTGTAGTGATTGACGCCTATAACAATAAAATTAATTGAATTGAATTTTGGCTTATGAATGAAAGAGTGGCCAACTGTGACACATTGTTGATTTGTCCATATCTTTAAAAACATAAGAAGACTTCAGAGGCCTTTAATCAACAACTATTCAGGCAAATCATGTGAATTATATTTGTTGTTCTAGGACCTGAAAATGAGACGATTTATGTGTGAATTAATTAAGGATAACTTAATTTATAAAATATACTGACCAACCAGAGGGAAGTGTGGTATATATGTTAATATTTTTCAACATCAAACTAACTAAATACTTAAAAGTCTCTGGACATGATGCAGTGATTCATCAGTGTACCAGGTTGGAAACAGGAGCATTTCCACAGAAGGGTGGGTATGGAGCTAAAAACAACTCCAGGTCTGTGTTTAGTTTTGGGCAGAAATACTGAAAACAGCTTTGTAACGAGTTTGAAAAAGGAGCGTTCAGACAGAAGGGAGATATATCAGTTCCTCTACCAAGAACTTCTAAACTGACCATGACTTTGGAATTGAAAGACCTTTTTAATAACTACTTATGTCTTGTTTTTGGGTTTCGGTCACGGTTCCATGAGGGTAATTTTGTCTTCTGCATTTCACCCATCCTTACATTACCTCTGGCCACCTTTAAATGTCCCTGAGGTTGTTGGTTCAATTCTGGCTTCTCTTATTAAGACTTGTGTACTCTTCCTGATGGGACTCTGCGGCTACGCTACATTAGCATACCAAATCAATACAGACGAATGCATGAGAGTAAGTGAGAGTTTGACCGCTGACCCCACGTGCGCCCCGGGCTCTGCATTGATTGGTGTAGAGCCTTCCCTCATCTGCATCTCATTTGCATACGCCCTCAGCCGAACCTCTGATCTCTAGAGATACGGATCAAATGGAAATCAGGGAAAACCCAACGCAGGATCGGGCAAAGATTCCACCAGCTTCAGGACAAAATAATTAGAAAGTGTAAAAGATAAGAAGGAGCACATTTTATGCAATTGTGTTAGACTAGTGTTTAACCGTAAAGGGCATGTCTGTAGGAAGTGTTAACACGGCCACAGGTCACAGATGTGTTTTTCAGAACTGGATACTTGCTTAGTCTGATTTAATTTGACTGAACGGTGGCTGAGTGGATAGCACTCTCGCCTCTCAGCAAGAAGGTCCTGGGTTTGAAAACCGGTCGGACCAGGGCCTTTCTGAGTGGAGTTTGCATGTTCTCCCCGTGTCTGCGTAGGTTTCCTCCGGGTACTCCGGTTTCCCCTACCACTAAAAATATGTCCAATAGTTCTGGCATGCGCCTCCTGTACTGGCGACCCCGCTCCCATCTCTGTGTGGAGTGAGAGACAAGTGCCCAAAAAAAAACAATTGTAAACCGCTTTGAGACTCAGCTCTGCAGTGAAAAGGCGGTATATAAATAATTACTTACTTACTATTACTATTACAAGAGACATGTTAACCTGGACGAGCTGTGCTTTTGGGGAACTGAACCGAAACCATTTGAACTCAATTTACACTGGTACTGATACGGGGAAAGTTACAAAGTTATTGTGAGGATTAGATAGCTATTTGGCCTACGGAGGACAAGTGCAAGACTCTACAAGGACTCTGATGGTGTATCCATGTCATGACTATGATTTGCTCTGTCTCTGTGTGACACGTATGTCTTTCGATGTGTGACGTAACAATGACTATGTAACTGTACGGACTCCATTTTGGTCTGAGAGAGAGAAACATCAGAAATCACTGGAACTTGAGAGAAACCAAAATAAACTTCTAGAGTTTGGCGCACCACGATCCGTCTCTGTCTGGTTCATTCCTGACAGATTTGGTGGAGGATGTGCGGCTCAGTGTGCGCCATTCTCTGGATTGTTTTGAGGGAGTTTCCTTTGTTTCTTTTTCTCGGTGTGAGAGACCGGCATGCTGTGTCTGGGAGCGGAGAAGACCAAAATTTATAAAAATGCGTCTGTTTTATATAGCGCTTTTCTGGACACTCAAAGACGCAGTTGTGATAATGCTATTGGCTTTGTCTAGCTAGCAGGTTAGCATAGTCCATACCTACACAGTCCATGATTAAACAGCACCGAGCCCTGCCCTGATGTCTCATGGGAAGTGTAGTCCCAGGTGCTGTGTGTGCTCGTGTGTGACTATATGCATGTGAGTGTGTGTGTGTGTGTGTGTGTGTGTGTGCACATGTGTGTGTGTGTGCGTGTATGTGTGTGTGGGGCAGATTGGGAGACATCTGTTTGTGGTTAAAGTGGGTGACTGGAACAAGACGCTGCATATGGGCCACCTGCACAAATCATACTGCAGTTATAAACATGAATATAATCCACTTAAACAGCAGTGACATAATTAAACACAATTAGATTTATTTCAAACATCTGTCTCATCTGTCTAATAACAAGTCTCCTCATTATACTGCTGCTCTGGTTATGTGGGGGAATGATTGATGGTTCCAACGTTGTGGTTTGATTCATTTGATTAGCACTTTAAGGGAGAAATATACATAATTATTTGTATTCATTTTGACTGTTATAATAAATAATAATGCACTCCAAACTACGACTGTAGCCACAGCTGCCCTGGGACACTGACAGAAGCGAGGCAACCAGAATGTGCCTTCAGCCCATCCCACCTCCACCAACCATTCACACACACACACTAGACTCTAGGGCAATGTGGGTGAAGTGTCTTGCTTAAGGACACAACAACAGTTTGGCACTTTACAACCGCCCCACTGTGGCACCTGCTGTTCCCAAAGGTCTCTCATCACCGTACTAACCAGGCCCTGCGCTGCTTAGCTGCCGAGATTTAATGGGATCTGGCTTGCACATGCAGGTATGGCACTGTTAACATAATCTTGAGAATTTTAGAATTGGAAAAAACTTCTAATGGAGAAAATGGAATAAGAAGTGGGACCTCCAAACTAAGTGGTGGCATTTTTGCTTAAAGGATAAATTAAAATGGCGCCTTTAATGACAGCTGTTTGTAAGTGTGTTTGTTTACTAGAGAATAAAACAAATTTGAAGGCAACACTTTTGTTTGGCAGAGAACATTCAGTCCATGACGTCATTTATTGGGCCAACATTGAAAGTTTTTGATCAGTCACCAGCCT